ACTTTACAGATGTGGATGAATGATGTGAAATATAATCAACTCTTAAATCAGACTTTAGTTCCACCTGGAGTAAATTCACAAGCTACCCTGCAGTATACAAAGTCATTCAAACTAGCTGCACCTTTACCAGCTTTGAGAACACTTTCATGATCAATCATATGACATGTTACTTGTTAGACGCTTTTATCCAAAGCGACTTACATACTCAATACTGTGGACAATCCCCACAGGAGCAATTTGGGGTGAAGTGTCTTGCCCAGGGACACAACCACATGCTGACTGCAGTGGGACTTGAACTTGCTATCCTCTGATACGAAGTCCAGCACTAACCCACTGCGCCACACGCCTCCCATATACATATCATATATATTATATTATTCTGAAATGGACCAATCAGAATTTACGAGTACTTTTAGTCTTGGTACTTTAAGTAAATGTTGATGCTAATACTATTCACTAGTTTATATGAATAGTATTTGCTGGTATTCAGATATAGTAATGTTAGGAGTCTATCACTCCGATACAGCAGGGGGCGCTATGCTGCTCCTCTGCAGGTGGTCCAGCGATGGCAGCGGTTCTTTGCATGGTACTTTGGTTCAATATCCAAGTGGTAGTAGTTTCCGGGTTATCTGGGGGTCACACACAGAGGGGACAGGAACGTGAAAAGCTTCAAAATGCTGCTACGGGTGAGTACATGTCTCAGTTTTGGGGTCAGGGTCTCACTGTGCTGTGGCTTTAATATATCCGACACGGGGCAGGGGTGTTAGCACCTAGGCTCGATTCAGGCTGTTAGCTAGCTACAGTTAGCCGCTAGTGTTACATCACTTCAGAGCATCCACACATGTCAGCTTCAATATCATGTTTACCTGTCAGCTGCATGACATCCTCTTTATGTTAGCTTCATAATATTGTGTTGACCTGTCAGCTTCATAGTATTGTGTTAACATGCAGAGGTGGGAGAAGTAAAAGTCCTGAATAGCCAATGTTACTTAGGTAAAAGTACAAAAGTATTAGGATCAAAATATAGTTAAAGTACCAAAAGTAAAAGTAGTAATTCTTCAGATTGGTCCATTTCAGAATAATATATATGATATGTTTTATAATAATTGATCATTAAAGTGTTCTCAAAGCTGGTAAAGGTGCAGCTAGTTTGAATGACTTTGTATACTGCAGGGTAGCTTGTGAATTTACTCCAGGTGGAACTAAAGTCTGATTTAACACTTGATTATATTTCATATCATTCATCCACATCTGTAAAGTAATTAAAGGTATGTAATACATGTAGTGGAGTAAAAGTACAGTATTTACCTCTGAATTGTAGTGGGGTGGAAATAAAATTAAAACCTATAATTAAAAAAAAGAACAATTTCATATAAACCTCTGGCTGGGGCAGTTCAACTTGATTTTGGGGGATGCGCCATAGTTTATGGGCGCTGTACGCAATATAGGCGTAGTTCTGTTAGTATAAGATAATAAGATGTACTTTGTTGATCCAAAATTGGGAAATTGTTTTGTTATATTATTTTTTTTCTGCGCCCCCCTGGGTTGATGCGCCCTTAGCATTAGACTATACTGCCTATGCCAAGGGCCGGCCCTGCTGAAATCTGTACTTAAGTACAGTACTTGAGTAAATCTACGTAGTTGCTATCCAATACAATAACTAATTAACTCAGTGGGGGATGTAACTCAGTGTATTTACTCAAGTATTGTACTTTAGTTGAGTATTTCCATGTATAGCTACTTTATACTTATACTCCACTACACTTCAGAGTCAAATATTGTACTACTTCATGACGTGTATTGCACACTCACAGTTACTTAGTACATATAAAACACATGAAATGCTAATATGGTATAATCATAGACTGTAAAGGGTAATGTGCATTCATGTTTGACTAATCTACACAGTATTTCTAGTAACTACATTTACTACACATAAACAAACTACAATACAAAAATCCTCTTACATGTCTAAAAGCAGGATAATATAATAATAAAATACTGTGAAAAGATTACGAAGGAGCAAAACATTTTAATAATCAAGTAAAGTACTAGTATCTCAAAGTTGTACTTAAGTACATAACTTGAGTAAATATATTTAGTTACTTTAAACCACTGTTTCTCTTTCAGCATCCTCTTATCCTGATATCCTGTGTGTGTGTGTGTGTGTCTTTCAGAGAGTGCTTCACATAGGAGGCTTGACGCTGAAACACAGCAGGTCCATCCATCACAGTCCTGCATGGAGGAGTCCGCTCATCCCCATTGTGGTGGAGCAGACGGTGAGGGAGCTGTGTGAAAGCTGCACTACACACACTCTCAACCTAAGAGCAGCCTCACTCTGTGGCTACAGGCTTAGAGAGCACTGATGAGAAATCTACTAACAAAAAGTCAAACATATCCCTGCTCTTGGACAGGAGATGGGCTGTACATTTAGCATGAGCAGTGTAACACACCTTACAGAGAAAGTTTTTGGAAAAAAGGACAAAATTGCTCTCAAACTGTCAGTATGCTGGTTAAAAAGAATAATAATAATACAAATAATTCCTGCACAGGGAATGGAGATGTTATTCTCCAACAGGTAGACACTAGGGATGCCAGAAACTGACCATGATCAAATTCGAAAATCGGACAGCCCTGGCGAATATTAATCGATTATTCACTCACACTTAGATCCTTGAAATAGTATTTACAAAGAACCTCCAAAATGTACTAAGTGCTTAGGTTGATTCACAGCTCATTTTATAAGAATATAAAATATCAACCGAGCCATTTTAGCGGGAGAAAACTAATAAACCTAAAGGACACTTTAAATGTGGTCACTGTTGGAATCACAAAGGCTTCAGAAGTCAGAGCGTCATTGAATGCATCAACAAGGCTAGTCTATGCCTCCAGTAATTGGATCTTAAAAGAACTCAAAGAGATTTAAGCAGGTTCCATCAAACTGAATTCAGTGCACAACACTACATAGACTTGTTTCGTTGGTCATTTATAAACCTTTCTGTCTTTTTTTGTTTTTTTCAGGGGAGAGGAGAAAGAGCGTACGACATCTACTCCCGCCTCCTGAGAGAGAGGATCATCTGTCTAATGGGTCCTGTGAGTGTCTCCCCAGATGTGATCAAGACAACTTTTATTTTGACATTTTAAGTGATTTTCATTGGTACTCTCTGCCTCCCCCCCCTCAGATCGATGACAATGTAGCCAGCGTGGTTATCGCCCAGCTGCTCTTCCTACAGTCAGAGAGCAACAACAAACCCATCCACATGTACATCAACAGTCCTGGTAAGACTCACAGCGCACACAAGCCTTTAACCCAGATGGCAGATATTGAAGGATTCAATGTTTATTTTTTTGCTTTGCCATTTAAGATTGGTTTACTTCCTGAACATAGTGACATCATTATGTAACACTCAGGCTTCTATTGGCTAGCGCTCCAATACATTGTACGTGATTGGCTAAGGCAGGGGTGGGGAACCGTTTTCCTCTCCAGGGCCATTTCAATTTTTTCAACATCCTCCGAGGGCCGTACAAATGATTGACCTCTGCTTAAAAAAACTAAAATCACAGCCCATTCATTTGGCCTTTCTTTCATGCTGTGCAAAGAAAAAGCAACCTCTTAATCCAGATATCTTACCATGACTCGCGCATGCATTCACGTGCACGGTGTGGCATGACCACCAAAACAGAAAGATATGGACACAAGATGTGTGCAAATGTATTTAGTTTCCTATCCATGTGAACATGATTTAAGTGTTGGGGGGGGGGGACCTAACCTCCTCCGGGAAGATTTGTTTTTAAATGTTGAAGTTAAAAGCATCAATCTGGTGCACTTTGAGAGCAACATTAGGAGATCTATGGAAACATCTCAACACCCATATGAAACAGAACTGTAAGCAGATGTTCTTTTTCTTTATGGATATTTTACAAATCACTCTCCTTTAAAACTGTATTCTTGTTTATTAATAACAACTTTTTTTTACTGTCATAGTATTTTATACCTGTTTTTCATCTATTCTCTTATTTTTTTATAACTATAATGATCATATAAAGATGTGCCTTTACCTCACTGGTTGGAGAAAAAGCATCTTATAGTCGTTAGCATAGCTAGCTAACCAGATGCTAATAACAACAAAGTTATTGGCTGTATGATCAGTATGACAGATTGACAGATGAACAGATCGCCACTGGGCTTTCAACTAAAGACACAGCCACGCAAAAACTGCGGCATGTGTACGGCTCCTTATCTGAAGTGCCGGAGCGGCGTTCTGGTGCTCTCCGTCAGAACTGCACCCCTGTCAGACGAGACGACACGTTAGGCTCGTGTTGTGTTCAAGGACCCTGACCTTGGCCAGGAAAAACAGGCACTCGCTTGTTTAATTCTGTTTAATCTAGATTTCTTTAATTTTTTTTCTTTTTTGCGTGTGTTTATAAATTACCTCGAGGGCCGTACCAAATGGTCTCGCGGGCCGTATACGGCCCGGGGGCTGGAGGTTCCCCACCCCTGGGCTAAGGGGTGGGACCTCTCTTAGTGGTTGACCAATCTCAACAGAGCCGGCCAGCTAACCAATCAGAGCAGACTGGGCTCTGGTTTCAGACAGAGGGTGAAAAGAGGTGCTGCAGCACAGGCAGTATGAGAAAAATAAAGAGCTTTTTGAACATTAGCGCATGGAGACATGTCCCAGTAGAGACACTGAATACTAATATGATCCTGAATATGTGAATACTGGGGCCCTTTTTAAAAAGGTACCATGGTCCCTGCTGAGGTGCACATGACATGAGCAACGACCCCTGAGGATTTTGAGTACTCCGTTTCCGTGATGTTTTCTAAACTCATGCCATTTCCTTTTCCCTGCCCCCCCCTCAGGTGGTGTGGTGACAGCGGGCCTGGCCATCTACGACACCATGCAGTACATCCTGAACCCCATCTCCACCTGGTGCGTGGGCCAGGCTGCCAGCATGGGCAGCCTGCTGCTGGCAGCGGGCACGGCAGGCATGAGACATTCACTGCCCAACGCCCGCATCATGTTGCACCAGCCCTCAGGGGGCGCCAGGGTGAGCTGCCCCCCCAACTTCCTTATACTGATCTGAGACCAAGCATAGGGGGTTACTGAGTCTGTAAACATGATCATTTCTCTGTGATGTTTTCAGGGTCAGGCCACAGACATCGCCATCCAGGCTGAGGAGATCCTGAAGCTGAAGAAACAGATCAACCAAATCTACGCCAAACACACGGGCCAGCTGCTGCAGACCATCAGTAACTTCCTGCTCTCTCTCTCTCTCAGACATTTACTCAAGTAGTGCACCTAAATACTGTACTTTACCCGAGCTCTTCATTTGACTGCTACTTTCTACTTTCACTGAAGATTTAAAGAGATTAGCAGGCTTTATTTTCATATGCACAATAGCTACGTCGTAGTTATGGCAATGAATATCTGAAGTCCCAGGCTCCCTCAACTATTCAACATACATTATACTTAAGACATTAAAAGAAATAAAAATAGTACAAGAAGAAATTGATATAAATGACTGCAAGGGACACACTGGTGCAAGTTAAATGCAGAAATGAACAATATAAATGCAAAATAGAGTAAGATAAAATAAAAAAATGAATGTACATTGGAATAAAATACTGCGTATTGTAATAATATATAAAGAAATATGTAGACTGTAAATGGATGTATGTGTTTTAAAATGTACATATGTATTTTTCCACTGCATTCATTTTAAAGCTTTAGTTCCTGAATCTGAATTTGTAATTAAAAAATGTATCGAAGTATAAGGTAATTAATGTCCCAGAAAAATGTAGTGAAGAAGTATAGTGGCACAGAGAAAAAATACTCTAGTATATTTGAACCTCAGTACAGTACTTGAGTAGATGTACTTTATTACACGTCACCACTGATAATGAATGATTGATAGCATGTGGCTAACTGTTAGCTGGTCTCCCTGTAGACGGGGTTATGGAGCGGGACCGCTACATGAGCCCGGTGGAGGCGCAGGACTTCGGCATCATCGACCGGGTGCTGGTCCACCCCCCCCAGGCCGGACAGGACGAGCCCGAGCTGGTGCAGAAAGAGCCGGCAGCCAGCCCCCCCCCACATGCAGAGTGTGCAGCCTCTGAGCAGCCCCTCCCTGGGACCCCCTCCTCACACAAACCTGAGCCATGACGACTCAACAGTCGAATAACAAATTATTAGTGTTACAATGTAAGTCGGGGTAGGGGTTCTGTAAGGACTATAATGGACCTGTGTGACCTGTTTCAACTCTCATATTTGTAATAAACGGAATAATTTTGACCTTGTTCCATGATCGTCTCAAATTAATATGGAGATGTCATTATACAAAAGTGAAAAATAATATATTAGATCACAGTGACTGCAGGCACAGGAAGTGGAACCCTCTCACCTTCATTTAGGCAGGTTTTTCACTGCTTTTTAGTACTTTTCCAGGAAAATACATTTCACTTGAGTATGCATTTTGATGAGTGTTGTTATTTTTATGACTGAAAGCCCTGATCAGTCAAATGGAATACAAAGTAATTATGTTATCATAGCTCTGTATTTTAATGAAGCTAAAGGGTTAGGGAGCTGTTGAAAATGTTTTTACAGATGTCCTCACTCGGGTCGTGTAGCAAATTACTACAGATTACTCCTCATATTAATATCTCTTGAGTCATCATAATTAAAAGGAATATATTTGAAAAGGGGAGTAAAATTGTCATTTAAAGTGCCAGGTCACTATACGAAGTGTGTAGTAAATGATACGCTCCCTGTGCAAGTGTCTGCAAGGAGAAATGCTCTGTATTCATATTAAACAGGTCAACTGAAATAAAGCACTGCCTTAAAGTACCAAATCATTTGTTTTAAAGGCTTTGAAATATATATTTTAGAATTGAATCTGAAAATACACAAATACAGTGTCATGAAATCAACATAAATGGGCCTACTTTTTCAAAAAACATTTAGTTTACACAACACTGATGGTCTAGCTGGAAGAAGGGAGCCTCCGTAAGCTACTGAGTGTGACTACTGACTACTGTCACGGAGTGGGAGTGGGTAGGGGGCGGTTTGGAATTGGGCCTTATTTTCCCCATCCATTGGACTCCTTTGTTTACTTCCTGAACCAGCTAACCGATTAGAGCAGAGCAGAGCAGAACAAACTAGAGAATGCAATTCCTGAAGAAATTGCTAGTGGGAATGCTTTATGCTGAAAAGCTGACGCTAAACTGCTATGCTGAAATGTAATGTGTAAGAAGAAAGTGAAGAATTTAGATTGAAATGATACATGAACACTGGGGGCTTGAATGTGTGATGAGAGAAGAAAAGAAAGTAAAAAGGCTTGGAAAAGCAGCAGAATATTTCAAATGCAAACTTTTGAACTAACTTGATGGCGAATGATCTGTCGCCATGCCAACGGCATTTGATGACATCCCATAATACGCTTAGATGCGTTGATGGCTGTGTTACCAAACCTGTGAAGTTTTGGGCCATTTGGAGCATTTTCACTGAAGTTATGAGAAAACCGTGTTTCATGGCGGGCATTGTGTTGCCATGGCAACGGCATGTCCCGTAGATGTCTTCACGGCTGGCTGAAGTTTGAGCACTTTTTGAACATTTTCATAGGAGTTATAGCGACATCATGTTTTATGGCGAGGGATGCGTTTCCATGGAAACGGCCTATGGTGAGATCTAAGATTTGGCGTAGAGCTGTTGAGGCATGGACCGGTGATATACAAGCAAAGTTTGGGGACGATCGGACCGTTTCCATTGGAGTTACAGCGACATCGTGTTTCATGGCGAGCATTGTGTTGCCATGGCAACAGCATTTGAAGAAATCTCAAAAATGTCTCGTAGATGTCTTCACGGCTGGACTGTTAGCACACATGTGAATTTTGAGCACTTTTTGAACATTTTCATAGGAGTTAAAGGGACATCGTGTTTTATGGCGAGGGATGCGTTTCCATGGAAACGGCATATGGTGAGATTTCAGATTTGGCGTAGAGCTGTTGAGGCATGGACCGGTGTGGCAGAGAGAGAGAGAGAGAGAGTGTGTGTGAGTATGAAATGAACAGTTAGAACTGACTGCTGTCATTTGGAGTGATGACATCGTGTTCCATTACACAGGTGTTTATAGTTGAGCTAACGAGCTATGAAGAGATCAAAGGTTTGCATTGTTCTGAATGAGATATAAAGCTCTTACATGTGAACGTTTTGTGGAAGAAGGATAACAGATATCTGTGAAATTTCAAAACGTGAAGCATGTCAAGGAAGTTGAGTATCTGAAGTGTAATTTTTGTGTACTTTCGGGTAAATAATGTGGCCTTTTTGGCAGTTTAACCAAAGGGTGTGCGGCTGCTGCTTTGAGGAAATATCTGCCTGAAATTACAATGGGCTTTAATGGAGACATGAACGTTTTTGTCACTTCATGCCTTCAAGAGGCATTTTGTTTAATTATTTTTTGCTTAATTATTTGTCATTTTTCAAGCTACGAGATGTTTTCCTACGTTTGTCATGAAAAATTATGTCTCAGGAATGTAGGGTTTGGGAATTATGGCAGTTTTAAAAAAAAATATGAAGGCAAATTTCAAGATTTCCTCCACTCTAGCTGTGACATCACGCACTCTAGTTAATGTTAAAATCTGAAGAAAACCTCTTTAACAAGGACTGAACAATGTTTAATATCTCTAAAAGTAAGAATCAGATTTAAAAGTTGTGTTACACGAATAATGTCAGAAAGATGTGTAACATTTTAAAGTTGGAATGAGGTTTCTGAGTGAAAGTATGAATGAACAGTTAGCAGTTGAAGTCGCATGAAGATTTGTTGAAGTCTGAAGAATTTCTCCATTGACTTCAATGGTTAAAAATGGGATGTATTATGGGATGTATCTCTGGAATTATGAAAGTTATGAATGATAAAAGTAATAGCCATCGATTCCCGACCGAGCTGAACGTTTTGATGTTTGAACGGAGTTTCTGCGATGTTGAATGTGGGCGGAAAAGACGGACAAAATAATTGGATGGAATAATAAGAAGAATTTAGTCCGTAGCATAACATATAGTTGGAATGCTGTATCAGCATTCCCACTAAATAAAGAGCTTTTTGAGCATTAAAGCATGGGAACATTGGGCACTAAATACTAATATGAACCTGAAAATGAGCATAATAGGGGTGTTTGCTCTTTCAAACATTGTTAATCAATAAAAGACGATTTTTTATTTATTAGTAGTATTTCATGGAAAACAGTATAAAAATGTACAGTGTCAACCCAGTAAGGTGAAAAAAACAAAAACGCTGTAATCCCATTCTCTATTTATCCAGGTCAAAATATCAGTGTATTAAACAGATCAGCCATTTTAAAAGGTTTCACTAATAAAATAAAGCTGTACAGTATCAATGACTTCAAACGAACTACAGTACAAACTCAATAGAAATACACAATATAATAGTGGCAAAAAGATGTGTCATGCTAAGAGAAAGGGACGAAACACCCAGTAATACACACAAACAACCAACACATGATTAATCACAGTGGCAGTATATCCCAAACATTCTCATACACACACATACACACACATCACATGAGTGAGCAGCTGGGTTTGGCAGAGGTGGTCCAGCGCAGCCAGCTCAGCTTGTCCTCTGTGTAGGGGGGGTAGCGCAGGCCGTTAAGTCTCTCCAAGGTCCACCCCCGCAGCATGACGGCCCTCTGGTGGCTGAGGGTCTCAAAGCCCCAGCGGCCGTGGTAACTGCCGAAACCGCTGGCCCCTGGAAGGAGGGGTCAGAACCGTGATCCAGCATCTTAAACAGCCTCTTTTTATAATTAAGTTAATAATTATTTTTTAGAATCAGAATACTTTTTTTATCCCCGGAGAAATTGGGTTACAGGACAGTTGCTTCATTTCAGAAGGAAATAAAAGATAAATAATAATACAAAATATATAAGAAACATTTTCATGTAAACATAAGAAGTTAAAGTAGGGTTAGAATGTGCAAAAAAAATAAAAAAA